CAATTTGTATATAGAGACCAGCATAGTGAGTAAATTATTATTTTGGTCAAATTTGGCAGTTCAGAATGTCAATGAAATCAATTGAGATGTTGTATTACTGGTATTGCCAACTTTTAAAAACTTAGTCGGCTTTCATTTAATAAAAAATAATTTCAACATGAGATGCCAAAATTTTTGTCGTCTATAGAATGAATCAATGCTACAAAGTATGTTAAGATAGAATTCTAAAAATCATCTCTTTTATCCTTATTATGTTTATTAGTTCAAATTTATTGATTTGAAACATTCAGTAGACAGGAAAACGATTTTGATTTCTTTTGATTTGACATATGATATTTTCGGATCTAAATGAATGACATGAAAAGATCAACTATCACTGATCAATATCGATTATCTTCCATGAATTGTACTATATTTTAATTGATATTCTTTCATTATAAAAATAACACTGATGTTGTTGTTGGTTTGATAATTTAGTTTAATGTGTCAATTTTGGGTCTATTATAATGTTTTTGAAGTAAATTCTTGTGAAGTTCCATCTGAATAGTAAAACCAATCAAGATTGTTATCGATATCTAACTATTTGTATAATATTGATCACTTTGTATATTGATGAAAACGATTCTGAAATGTGTTTAAAAAATTTGTTTGATTTATGCTTCATTGGATTTAATTCGTTCAGAATAATTTTATGCATACACCAATGAACACATGTAAATATAATTGTACAAATTATATTATTATTTTTTTTTGAAAACGAGCATTTAAAGGAAGAAGCTATTTTTGCGAGGGAAAAAGAGCTTAAACTGAAGAAAGAAACGTAAACAACGTCTTAACGAGGAGGGGAAGTTGCTGACCGATAAACAGAAAGAGGACCGATGCAGTTATGAAGCTATTACAAATACGTAGTAATGAGATCACAGATGGTAAATCTGAACTTAAGAAAGAAAATTGTGAAGTTTTTCAATGAGATAGAAATTTAATGTATCCTTTTCAACAATCACTTTTGGAGATAAATATAAAGTTTCATTAATAGATATTTGGACATCGAAAATCTTTGGGCTTATAACAAACATAATCTCACTATGCCAAATACTAGAAATTTCAAACTGGAACATCGAACTTGTTGGTACATTCTCTTCTTTATCTACCGTTTTAGATAAAAGGAAAAAGAGATAATTCTATTGAAATTCATTCCAAGAAGTTCAGTTTCATTGTTTACTCATATTAATTTTTTGATTGTTAGCTTTGCGAAGAAAAAGACAACACTTTATGAATTCTTTCTTACGAAGTTATTTTCAAAGTTAACCATCCTGTTTATTTCGTTATTTCATCTTGTGATCATGAAGGACTGGTTTTAGTGATATTATTGATCTTCCTTATCACCAGCACAATGATCAAGTTTATGTCTGTTTACTTTAATGATACATTCTCATTGTATGAAGATGTTATATATTTCAATTTCAATAAATGTTTTAATTGCTTAGAAGATTAAAGTGGGTTTAAGAAAAAAAAGAACTCGTGTCAAGATTGAATAAAAACAAATAGTAACATTTAACTAGAAACAATTTGAATTTCATTTATTAATATTTGATTGTGATTAACATCTGACCGTCAGACAAATCAAGAGTGGTAAAGCAGCAGGACTAGACAACATTCCAGCAGAGGCACTGAAAGCGCATGTAGTGATAACTGCAAGGATACTCGACATTCTCTTCAATAAGATCTGGGATGAGGAACAAGTACCAACAGACTGGACGAAGGACTTCTGGTTAAAATACCAAAGACAGGCGATCTCAGCAACTGTGGTAACTACTAGGGAATCACTCTTCTCTCAATACCAACAAAAGTCTTCAACATGGTATTGTTAAACAGGATGAAGGACTCCGTAGACACCAAACTTCGAGACCAACAGGCAGGATTCCGTAAGGATAGATCGTTTACAGACCAAATCGTAACTCTACGGATCATTGTGAAACAATCAATTGAATGGAATTCATCACTCTACATCAACTTCATTGACTACGAAAAAGCATTTGATAGCGTGGACAGAACAACACTATGTAAACTTCTTCGACACTACGGCGTGCCTCGAAAGTTAGTCAATACATTAGGAATTCCTATGATGGATTAAACTGCAAAATCGTTCATAGAGGACAGTAGACAAAGTCGTTCGAAGTCAAGACTGGTTTCAGGCAAGGTTGCTTACTCTCACCCTTTCTCTTTCTCCTGGTGATCGACTGGATCATGAAGGCGTCAACATCTGAAGGGAAGCACGGGATACAGTGTACATCTAGGATGCAATTGGATGATTTACACTTTGCAGATGATCTGACTCTTCCATCGCAAACGCAACAACAAATGCAGGAGAAGACGACCAGTGTAGCAACAGCCTCAGCAGCAGTAGGTCTCAATATACACAAAGGGAAAAGCAAGATTCTCCGATACAACACAGCATGCACGAATCCAATCACAATTAATGGAGAAGATTTGGAACATGTAAAAACCTTTACATATCTGAGCAGAATCATTGATGAACACGGTGGATCTGATGCAGATATGAAGGCGCGGATCGGAAAAGCAATAGCAGCATATTTACAACTGAAGAATATCTGAAACTCAAAACAATTGGCAACCAACTTTAAGGTCAGGATATTCAATACAAATGTCAAGACAGTTCTATTGTATAGGGCGGAAACTTGGAGAACTACGAAAGCCATCATCCAGAAGATACAAGTATCTATTAACAGTTGCCTATGCAAAATATTTGAGATCCGTTCGCCAGACACTATTAGCCACAATCTACTATGGGAGAGAACAAACCAGATCCCAGCAGAGGAAGAGATCAGGAAGATGTGCTGGGAGGGGATAGGACATACATACATTCATACAAGGTAAGCCCTCCCATGGAATCCTGAAGAAAGAGAGAAGAGGTAGTCTAAAGAGCACATTAAGCCGAGAAATATAAACAGACATGGGAACAATAAACAATAATTGGATAGAACTGGAAAGGTAGGCCTAGGACAGATTGGGCTGGAGAATGCTGGTAGACGGCCTATGCTCTATTGGGAGTAACAGGTGAAAGTAAGTAAGTAAGTAAGCAACATAAGAAGATAATTTTGTTTATTTGTTATTACTCGTATAAATTTGCAAAATATGGTGAAAGTATAGAATACTGACAATCTTCAGGAATAATTAAAATGACTACGAGAAAGAAAAGTTAACTTTTTAGTCAATTCAAATACAGTTAATACAAATGAATAATTTACATCGCCTAATCTAAAAAACATTCAGATTTATGGTTAGCAATTTTAGTTAGGATTAATGTTTAGGATAAGTGGCACTGGTCAGAAGTTAGAACCACTGGTTATGAATAGAATAAAGATTGTTTTGTAGCTATTTAGATGAATACTTATCCATTTAGTCCTTTGAATTAAATATCAACAACTTTAAGTTACTTTAGAAATATAGTAAAATATGGTCCCTATGTTTTAGTCTTCTCGTATTATTAGTTTTAGGCGTCTTAGTAATTAATTACGCGTATGTCCAACATATCTTTTTAATAAGATACAATCTATTTATCATCTCGTCTTGAATTTCACCTAAATATCCAATAGTTGCAATTTAAATGTGATTGGTTTTTTCGTAAGGTATTTATATTTTTTAACAAAGATGCTTACAATCTATGCAATCGTGTAGACTAATACTAGCATCTAATAATCAATACTTAAATTATGGAACTAATAGCTGAAAAATAAACAATGTAGCAGATGCCCCTGCATCAGTAGACTTCAATATACACAAGAAAAAAAGCAAGATCCCCGAATACAACACAGAGAACGACAACTCAATCACACTTGATGGAGAAACTCTGGAAGAGGTTGAAACATTCACATATCTGAATAGCTTCATCGATGAAAGTGGTGGATCTGATACACACATAAAAGTAAAGATTGACGAAGCAAGGACAGCATACCCACATTTGAAGAATATATGGAACTCAAAACAAATGCCTGTCAACCAATATCAATGTTACAATCTTCAATATGAACGTCAAGATAGTCGTACTGTACACAGCTGGAACTTCGAGAACAACCACAATCATCGTCAAAATAGTACAAGTATTTATAAACAATTGTCTATGCATGATACTCAATGTCCGTTGACCCGATGCTATCAACAACAACCTACTTTAATAGAAGACAAACCAGCTTTCATTATGGAGAAGGAAATTAGGAAACGATACTGTAGGTGGATAGGATATACATTGAGGAAATCATGAAACTGCATCACGAAGCAAGCGTTAACTCGGAACTGTGAAATTGAACGTAAAAGTGAAATACCGAAGAAGAAACTGAATGGAGAATTTGATGCAGAAATGCAGAGGATGAATATCAAGTGGAAAGGCTTTGAAATGATTGTGGAAGACAGAGTTGTATGTAGAATGCTAATGGTTGGCCTCCGCTCTTCCATGAGGTGTAACAGGCACTAGAATATCTGTAAAGAACAATTTCATTTAATACCTAATATTACTTATATTTTTTTAAAATATTTCATTCAATATTTCATGTTATGAATAAATTTCCAACAAATAAACAAACAAACACACACAATGCTTATCTTTCATTCTACCTAGTGAGTATGAAAAATAAACTATAAACAATATAAAAACCAGAAATTTCAAATGACAACAATAGTTTTTAAATTAATGTCAAAATATTCTTCACATATTAAATACTTTACGTTATTTTGTTAATTATTATTATAATAAGATAACTTTAAACAATCTAATAATTTCCCCTAACAACTAACTAACTAACTAACTAACTCAATAACTATATGTTTACATTTAATTTCATAATATAATTTGACCAGATCAATCGATAATAACCAATTCAGTCAATAAGACTCAAATATATCCAGTAAAATGGGAAAATTTCAAGGTCATTCATATGATTGGATAATATTTTAGTCTATCAATACTAATCATTTAACCTATCAATTTTAGAAATAAAGAAGCATGCAATCTATGTAGTATTAATAGTAGTAGTTGTAGCAGTAGTAATAGTAGACTAGATCTTTGATGTGTTTTTTTCTTTTCATACATGAAAATAACGAAATAATCTTCTTATTAATATTAATTACCAGTTGGTTATTCTAAATGATGCTCAAATATATTGATAGCATTTAATCAATCCTGTATATTGTACAAAGTAAACATGATCAACAATATGGATAATTGTCATTATTTCAATGGTTATTTTCATGGGATATAAAAAAATGTACTAAAATGGGAAATGAGACTAGTCAAACCTCTGGACAAGAGGATATTAACAGAAATGATATTAATCATAAACGTAGTCAATCATTACAACGTGATTTAACTGATACAGGAATTTCTTTATTACCGAATTCATGTAAAAGTCAATCACAAATTTCTTTACATGAAATAAATGATTATAGTCAAGATAAAACAAGTTCAAAGTTAACTACAGATACATCAACAACTGAAATAGCTTTACTTAAAACTGTACAAATGGAATTAACTGATGATGAAAAAGAATGTATACAACAAGTATTAGCTAGAGCACGTCTTGTAGAAATGAATGAAGATAAACGTGTTACGTAAGTTAATAAAAATCTTTTGTAATCAAGCTTTTGGTTACTAGATTTGTTAAGAATAAATACTTGGTCTTTCCTATTGGATGTAAATGATACATAAATTAATCGTTACATGACATGTCATTGAAGTTATCATATTTCATAATTGAGTAATAGACTTTTTGATCATTACATTAAAAACCAAAGTATTCTACATTTTAATAAGGATAATATGTGGTTTATTTGATTCATTCAAATGCCTAAGCAAAATATTGTGGTTTGTGCTACATATGTCGACAGATATATAAGTAGTTTATAATACCAGTTGAAAGTGGAATGCCTGGCAGCAGTAGGTTGACAAGATCGTTTAGAAAAAAATGAGAAAAGATATTGATTGATAAAGAAATATAGGAATAACAATTGATGGACATTTTGCAAATGAAGTATTGAACGTATGGTATTCATATTTCATTAAATAACTCTGTTATTTCTTATCCAAATACATTTGGTTATCACCACCTGTGTTCTCATTCGCTACGATACGAATTTTATAACTCCAATCTATTTGTATACATTTTTTATTCTTTCCTAATTCTACTAATTGCTTACTTATTCCTATAAATGATAAATCCTTGTTAATTAGTTATACTATAAGCAGTGAAAAGAATTGTAATTTGATTATATTCAGTAGTAAATATTTTTATCTTAATGCTATTAAGCAAGATGATAATCTGTAACATGTTTCTGGGTCGTTTATTGTGAAATAACATTATTTAAGTATTAACGGTTGAAATTTCATGACAGTAAAAAGGATTAGATAAAAATGTCAATGATGGAAGTAAATGGAACATTTATTTTTTGCGAAGAAAATTATTCACTTCACAGACCTTCTTTAGTTAAGCCTTAGACCTTTGGAAACCAAAGAATACAAGAGAGCTGTTTGTACTAGTTTAGAACACTTGAGTTTTGGACAGTTAAAATCTTACCGGGAATCGAACGTAGAACCATCATATCCCGAAATTAACTGCATTACCTGTAGAATATGAAGTTGACATCAATGTGTCCTTATTATAAATTTGTCTTACTTACTTACTTACGCCTGTTACTCCTCGTGAAGGAGCATAGGCCGCTCACCAGCATTCTCCATCCAACCCTGTCCTGGGCAATCCTTTCAAGCTCTTTTCAGTTCTTATTCATCTTTTTCATATCTGCTTCTATTTCCCGACGTAATGTGTTCTTTGGCCTAGCTGAAGTAATTCAATGATGTAAACTATTTTTAGGAAGTGAACTGTCTTAATAAATGTTTTAGTCTTGAAATTCAAATATCTTTAAAATACTATTTATACATATATCCTAGTTTACATGTAATTAGCTTTGATCAATGAAATGAGTAAACCAATGGTTCATATATATATATATATATATATATATATATATATATATATATATATAGATTCACTTATTGTTACTAAAATTATACTAATTCTTTGTTAGCATTCTCTTCTCAATCATCAAATTTTCGTAATTTAAATCATAGACTGAGGTCAGTTAGACCACTACCGAAAATCAGCGATTACTCGGCAGCTGTTTCGTCATATTTTGAGACCCTTCGACATCCAGAACATTATTTGGGTTTGAACCTAGGACCTTAGAGCATGCGCTAATACTGAACGTCTGGATAAATTATGTACCAGAACCCAAAATACTGTTCAATCCATCCTAGTTTTCATCTGTGGTTTAACTAAGATCACCATTATTTATGGTTGACCAAAAGACAAAAAACGTAATAAGAAGTTCTATTTTGGAGCATCTGGTTGATATCGGTCAGTAAATTGATAAAACTTCAGTGTTTAATCTCTCCGAATTTACTATTTGGTCCTGGAATCCGACTCACACATATAATAGAAGCCATAGTAATATATACAAAAAACCTAACCTTGTATAACGAAAAACTTTATAGAACCTTTGAATTTACACTGACCTTCTATTTACTTGCTTACTTGCGCTTGTTACATCTCGTGGAGAAGCATAGTCAGACTTCTGTTTAGATACAATTAAATGTTTCAAAACCTTTCTTCCCCTTTTCATAAAAAAAATTTCCAAACTTCGGTTCCATTATCATTTAAAATTCTAATTCTAGTCTAACGTTATCTGTTGCACCCATCCTATTAATTATTATCAATCTAACGAAAAATAAGAAAGATTTGTATTTACAGTTGGATTCACATTCAACTTTAATTATGTAACTATTTGTTACAATTAACTGATTATAAAAATTCACTTTAGTCCTCATTTAAATGTGCATTTTACAAACGCTCTAAACTAACTGATGATTATATTTTTAAACTAACTTACTACCATCTAATTGGTATCGATTTCTATTCACTTATAAAACATATAAATTAGTTTTTAATAATTGGGTTCATGAGTCGATTAAAGCTAGATCACCACAGAAAACCTAGGAGCACTGGACGGCTGTTTCGTTTTAGTATGTGACTCCTAGGAAGTGCTCGCCCACGATCCCAACCGATTTATGTTATAGAGTCAGTTATTGATTGAAGGCATAATATCTTCGATTGGTTGAAGTTAGGCACTACCACCATTGGGTGCCAGCCAGCTCAATGATCTAGACAAGTAAATAAAATAAAATATACATCCTGGCTATCCTTGTATATAATCATAGACTTAAATCACGTTAGTGAATAATGGAATTAAATAAGTCAAATAGGAAAGTGAATTTCGAATACATATATTTTGTATTATCGTTCATTGGAACAGACAATCGAACAGACATAGCAAAAGAAGCAAATAGAAGATGACGAAGCGAAATCACGCGCAATGGAGGCGTGTGAACCAACTCAATGTAATCAAGCATGAATCCATATTTATAGTTCGACAAAAATAAGTTACAAACATGTGATGAATAGGATAAGAAGTAAACACACATACGCTCATATAAAAACAGTCAAGGTTGGTAAGCAAGTAACTGAAGAGGTCAAAATGTGGTTTATGTAGAATGAACAAATTGGTCTGTCCGGTAGTTAGAATAAGCTATGTGAGCTTAATATAACAACTGACACTACACTGTGGACCTAGATTATTATTCAATAACTCTATTCGATTTATGGTTTTATTCACATCGTCTATCCCAAACTTGCAGAATGGCATTTGATGATCGGTTGAAATCGCTTAGTGATGACTACTCAGAAAGAACTTCCAAGTAACATCTATCACATAGCTCTTGTTAATATTTTGTCATTTAATATCCAACTTTATTTTAAGTGTTATTTTTCCATCATTTTCATTTGCAGGATTCATATTTGTTTTAGCATATTAATATTTAATTTGTACATTGTCATATCTTGATTAAGTTCTTTTACGAGTTCATAACAAGTTAAATCTGTAAAATTCCCTACTTTATATATAAATAATATAGAATCACTATACCATGAAAAAACAAAAAATTAGTTATTGAATGATAATAAATGTTTGAATGAGTTCTAGTGAGAAGCAGTTACCAGTGGAGTTCAACCGGGTTTGTTATGAGATAGTAACTCACTGAAGACAACGGTGGACGGTGGCTTAATTTCATGGATTGCTCTAGTGGTTAGGCGTTCGCCCACGAGAGCGAAGTTTCTGGATTTGAGCCGCACGTGTGGTGATGAGCCCCATACTAGGACGAAACGGCTGTTTAGTGCTTTCAGGTTTTCCATGATGTTCTAGCTTCAATTAATTTATGAATTCATTTATTAAATTACTAGAATATCCACAAAACCTTATTCTGATATATATTAATGTCGAGCCTTGATAAAGAATTAATTGAAAGAAATATTATTTCACTCAACTTTTCATTTTAGTTAAGATCAATTCATGTTACAAACTATGCATAGTAAATAATACTTGATTTATTCATTTTAATCTTTGATATACTACTTTAATCATTTATTATAATTTTAGAAATAATTCACCATTTTTAATAATGCTGATTAACTCACTTCATTTAGTTGATATTCATCTTGTTATCAATCATAAAAGATGTATGATGTAAATAGAGAGCTGATAATAATTATAAGATAAAGAAAATTGGGAATAAATATTTCTTTTCATAAGTCCCTTTTCTTCTTACATGTCTCAATAGGAATTTTCTATTTGATTCATTTTTTTTTTCAAATCGTGATCTATGTTTGTTTCAATTTTTTTTGGGAGGATAATCTTTTGTATGAATTAAAGATTTTGTAGAAGTGTATTTAATTTATGGAAGGAATATTTCACAAACTGATATCATCAATCAAAATGCTATGAGATGTAATGCAATCGTATCAAAATTTGAAGGTTTAAGGTTTACTAGTTGGTAGGGTTTTTGCAGCATACTTATGAAGAATCTTGGACTAGAACGAAACACTTTATTTAGTTAATGGAAATGGCTACAGCTCAAATGTTCTTTCATATATCAAGTTTCATATCGAATTCTTAATTATTTTTAAATAATCATGAAAATGGTTCTAGTTTCTTTTAGTTTAGATATAACATTTTGAAATTAAAATAAAATCAGTTTTCCAGAATTATTTATTTTAGCTTGATTAATTTTCAGTGGAATGCTGTAGAATCCACATCTTTAATTACATTTAACTACTGATATTTATGATATATCTACTAATTTAAGTAATATTATAATTGAATAAATGTATGATGGAATATTATGTTGTCTATTACCTAATGTTAAATGAATTATACTGATCAAGTTTTAATATAGCAACTAGGTGTTATGATTTGACAATATCGTATAGTTCACTTGATGTTAGATATTTAAAGGTAGGATTTGAATTGACAACTTCATCTCTGTGCTAATGTGGTATGCCAACTCGAACTGCTGTACGTATGTACGTACGAAGTTCTACGTTGTTACTGACTGACTGACTTAATGAAAGGTAGTCAGTCGTATTCTCTGAACTTTGTATTATAATTACTTTTATCATATAATTTTATGATTATAAGGATATTTTATAAATTATCTTTCTTATTTT